TATGTTTAAATAGCCACTCATGATGAAGTATCTTTCTGTCTTTTTCCTTGACATTTTCTCTGATCCTCACAAATTGCATTTCTCTTTCCCACAGAATATAACTGTGCAAATTGCCAGAACTGATTCTCTTTCCCTCTAATGCAAGAAATAGAAAGAATATTAGCATGTAGGAACTTCGAGAAACTCAGAGAATAATTCACAATCTGGTCACATACGAAGATTTTGTGGCATGTCTTAGAAAATATTCTATGTAAAGTAACAAAAGTCTTCATACTATGACATCCTGTCCTTGAACACTTGATCTTTCCAGTTTCCTTTCTGTCTCAATGCATGTTCTTATCTTCTACTTGCACCGTGCAGACCTATGTTTCTTAAAATCTTCTTTCCTGCTTTTTCTTTCTTTCTCCTCTATGGGCTTAATTCTTTCTACGTCCTTTAGGCTTTGAATAGTGCCTTCTCTTTCTCTAACAAGAGAGGTCCTCTACGAATTCTGGTTAGTAATCAAAGTCTTTCAAGAAACTTTCAAGTACTCATCTCTTCAGTGTAACCACTCCATTCTTTCCCGTTTGTTTTAAGTTGGCATCACAATAAACCCTTTTTCTCTGGATTACAGTTTATCCTGATAGGACAGGGAGGTTATAATTCATGTTCCTCTAAAGTGCCACATGCATTTACACTCATAATACTTATATATATTCACGTGCTTGAACATAATTTTGAATAACTGTTTAAAGAATTTCCGGCATAATATGGAAAGCACACTCCACAATACAAAGAAATCCTTACAAAAGCTTACAAATAAACGCAAGTTAACGCAAAGAAACCTTTTCAAGCACATGCAATCGATTATTAATGTTAACTTTCATCATGTGTTGTGCATTTTCTACATCTGCTTTTCAAATCTGGATATGTGGCAGAAACACCTGGAGATGAATTTTGCTAAGAAATCTGAGCATTCAAAGAAGCATCAGTTAAAAGTGTGAAAAAAACCTGTTGCAAATATTTACGTTAGGGACCCATAGTACCAAAAAATGGAATCCTTATTTCACTACCAAAAAAATTCCTTATCTCAGCCATCATAAACCTTCACCAGTCAAAGGGTAGATGGATAGTCTGTGATTTTTTTTCTGGATATATTTGTCACACTGAACAATCTTTTGTTTCAGGTACTTTTTCATTTTGCACAGTCATCTCTATTTTAGTTTAAAGTCATTCAGGCATCGTAAAAAGCTGGAATAACACATCTAAATAATTTCTTTAGCAAGAAGATCCCTATTGAGCTTCTGCGGTGCACCTAAACTGTGTAACACACAGCAGTGCATCTCCGTTCCTGGTTGCTCCATCCTACAGCTTTGGAGTTCCATGGGAAGACACCACAGGTCTAGCATTACCTAAGATTTTCATGCTCTCAGACCCAAGTTTATACATAGGCCTAGTGCACATTGACATGGAAAGACTGAAAAAACCCTTTAGCTGCAAACTGATTCCATTATGGAAAGTAATAACAATATCTATCCTCTGAGCATTTATTTATTATTCTAGATAAAATATCTCACATACCTGGAAGTCCTGTGTTTGCCCCAGCTACTCTCAGGACTAACTAAGAGTGGTGACTATTAAGGATTCCTTTTTTGTGGAGAGATTTTTTTCTCCCTTGTGAAAAGTTGTGGTAAGTAGCAACAATATTCTTAATACCCCAAGACTTGAACTAAACCCATGCCCCACAGCAAAAGTGAGCTTATAAAGATTCAACATTAAATAAATGCACTGCTATGAAGGATAAAAGCATACAGGGCTGATAAACTGTTATGTTGGCCTACTTTTTATTATGGCTCTGAAATACTCTTCTTGATGGGTAGAACTAAGGGTTCTACAGCCAAACAAATTTTGAATAAAACTATGGCCAGCACAAATGGCAGCTCTGAAGACCTTATTTCCTTGGACATAAACAACTGCACTACAAAGTTCTACTGACCAAGAAAGATGTCTTTTCCAAGCCTATTCATGTGCACCTTCTGTTTCTGAAATTCAGCCCTGTCAAGATTATGATTCACAGTCACAGCCTGCTGGTTTCCAAGAAAATTTGAATCTTAGTTTAAGTACTGAAATAGAAATAGGTGAATAGGTGCCAAGGACGATGATAACCACACTTACGGGCCTACCATAAATCAGGACGGTTTTCCTAAGATGAAAGATAACATTTAATTAAACTTAAAAGACTGACTTGTGTGGATAAAGAACATCTCCAGAAAGAATGTCTAGCAGGATTACTGCATGGGAAAAGTAAAGAACCCTTCAACTGAGTCCAGTTCTCATTCGTTGTCTTTACTGCTTATTTCTGATGGCTTGGCTATAGCACAATAAATATGAAATTTACTGCATTCATCCAGACCGCAGCTTTTAATGCAATAATAAGACTGATTTTGATATATCTTCCTTTGTTCATTATTTATGTCAGTGAAAAAACCAGTAAATGTACAGTGATGTAACTAAGAGCACAATTTGCCCTACTGGCTGGAAAAATCAAAGCTGCAGGGAATGAAATATAGGATGAAAAACCCGTGTCCAGCAGATGAAGAATAGACTTCCAGACTGCCATGTCTGTCTTCACTTGTTAAGCTGTATACCTTTCATAAAAGAGCTGTCTCCTACTAGATGATTTTAAGACATTTAATCCAAAGGTGGCTGCTAACTAACATTAAACATAGATAATAATAAATATGAGTGGGGTTGTCCTGTGCTATGCCGTATGTCAGAAATTAATTGAATTCATATATTGCTTTGAAACAAGTTATGCAAAAAGTATACCAAGTTTGGGATAGCTAATATAAGTATTTTATTAAAATTCAGATAGTTCTGGAAACTTTTAGACTTACTTGCTTTTGTTTTGGTCAGTAGGGAAGCAGTGAATTTAAACCAACTAAAAGCTATTTTAAGGTATTTAAAGAGATTTTACATTACTTCTGATGTTTTATGTAGCCATGAGAAAACATTTTTAACTATTTAATTTTTCTGACTTCTGGATGTGATGCATCTGGCAGATAAGAGATCTGAAAATGGAATTCCTTCCAGTGCTGTAAGAGGGCCTTGGATAAAACTGGATAATTCATCTCTAAGCCTGTACAGTCAAAACAAATGGTTCTATACCGAGACTTATCTTTCTGTTTCTAAACTTGATTACACTTCCCTTGATTTAGATAGCTGCATGAAATCCTAACTAATCTACAAGGAAAAACAAACAAACAAAAATTACTTAAAATAAAGACTAAAACTAAGAAAAACAAATATCCCCCCCCACCAAAGAGCTGACTCAATAATTCTTTTGAATAGAAAATAAAGATCCTACTAACATCAGATAAACAATGCAATTTTTTTTAATACTTCATTTGTAGCAATCAACATTTATATTTAATGGAATTCAGTTCCTCAGGATGCTAAAATGGTTCTTAACTGCATTTAATTGATAAAAATATCTTTTAAAATGCTAATTATCTGTTCCATGACATTGTGCCTTTTTCATTAGGTAAAGCCAATGACAACAAAATGGTCCTTTCCAGAAACGTAAACACCATTTACATTTTTGGTTCTTTCCAAAAATGTAAACAGAAGTAATGCTTCAGAACAGACTGAAAATACGTAATAATGTTTACCTGTTCTCGGGATTCCATTTGTGCATCTCAGACCATTTTCTCTGTATTAAGAAAGTTACCCATGTGATTTCTAACATTTTTATCACTTTATAGATATTGTTGCCAGGTTTACTTAATTTGTAAAAGACAGATTAGTAAAAGTTGTCTCCATGTTTATTTAATCCTGAGCACATAAGAAAAAGGAGACAACAAGGCCTGCAAGATAAATTTTGGAAATGGTCAAGACTTGAGAGCTGCTAATGAGACTGCAGTTCATTGGTTTAGAATTCTTGTTTAGAAACATAAACTTCTAAAATTGTTTTGAGAATTCCTGAAATTTCTTCTAACAGGAAGGACATGCTAGGGCATGCAAGGACTGTCATTGCTCTCATATGCTCCAAGGTCCTCATGCCAACCTTTTATAAGTGAACACTTTTTTAAAGCATGATCAGCAGTGTTATGCCAGTTATTCAGTTGTTAATGAAGAAAAGCTTGGCTGTTAAAATCCAGTAGTCTTTAGAAAGAATGAGAGAAGGGGAATGTAGGGCAGGTATAGCAAATTACTAAAGAAAATGGGTATAAATAAACCTACAACAGTGTAACCCAATTCTGTCTCTATTTACCTATCTTCACAAATTCCGTGGGCCATGCCAAGAAGGAAGAGAATACTTTCATAAATATTATTTTTAGGATTTTTACTGTGTGAGTAATCATAATATATTAGTCACATCCATAAAGTAAGTGTATCATCATACCTCTAAGTGTTACCCTTAAATGTTGCTGGTAACAACTAAATAGAGTTACAAACAAGCTACTTTTCTTTTTCATGCTACTTAAGCTCTATTAAGAACATTTTTAAAGTTCTACTGACCTCTGTAGACACTAAACCACAGCAGAAAAGTCTCACATCTGGAAAAGCGAACTTGTTTACATGCATTTTCTTAGCAGTCAGTCCCGCAGCTCTAGTTTTTAATGAAGCATTTTTTTTCCTTTTGGCAGAACTATTTATTTGTATTAGAAACATGTATAATTTCCAGGAAAAGATTCTTGCACCCACCTGTAGACGCTTCATGAATGACTGATCTACATAGATGCCATAGGTAAAAGAAAAAACAATTTGAATTGTAAATTGAAGCCTGCAGACTACTAAATCTTGCTGCATGCTGCTCTTGGCAGTATTTTGAAGACCCCAGAGATATTTCTTTAGCTGCCATTTGAAACAGCCACAAATAAATGAATCAAGGACAACAAACTCCATTAATCACAGCTACACTATTGAGGCTAACCTACCAAAAGGATTGACAACATACAACTGCTGAAAGAAATAAAGACATGCAATGAAAGATTTTACTTTTGTACTTGGTATTGAGGATGGCTCACCTGAAGGATACTTTTTCATCTATTTTCAAATGCTTTAGAGAAAAACCATCTCTCTTTTTGGGACTAGTGAGGTGGGACAGCTGTCTAGACACTGATGAAGAGCATGTGAATTTTGCTAAAAGCGATGAACTGAACAGAGTTCACAGCGAGAACAGAGAGGAACCAGATGGACCCCTGAAATTTGAGCTTGATATTTGTCACCAGGATCCAGAATACAAGTCCCCAGCTCCCTTGCCACATGCCCAGGTCAAACTGATCACCAGCTGGGAAGCAGGATGGAATGTAACAAATGCCATTCAGGTAACCTTTTATTTCCACACTTATTCCATTCTTCATTTGAAAAACCTGGTCATCTTAGCCTGCTGTATTTTACTAAGCTGTACCATCATTTTGCGTATTCTAAAAGGCTTCTGTGAATTTATTACTCACATATTTGAATCTTTCTGCATAAGATTAGCACTCTGATAAAACAGGATTCCAAAGGGAAAAACCGTACATATGTTATCTGAAGTTTAAAAAGTGTTTAAATTAGGTGAAATTGAAAAGGTGGTGATTGCACCTGTTTTGGCAGTGCCGACATTATCTTTAATAAGCATATTTGAATTCAGGGACAGAGGTGTTTGATAGAAATGTGAGGTAAACATCTAATAAAAAGAGCATGGTAAGAGCCAGACTGACGTCAGACATAAATTTACTGACATGTAAATTAAACTAGAAATAAATTGAAGCACGAAGCACAAGAAGTGTAATAATACTTGTCAGTGTTAAACAAAATAGGTTGAATAGACTTAAAGCATTTGGTCCCAACATTCTGTGTGGAATTTGAGTATCTTTCCAAATCCTTAAATTTAGCATTAAATGTTTCAGAATCTTTTTCTCACTTTTCATGATTCATTTCCTTATATAATTCTATCATTACCTCTAACTTTCTGTCTGACATAGTAAGAAGAAATAAGCATCCACAGACACATCTAAGCCCCAGTAACTGTTGCTTAAACACTTTTTTATGCCACTTCAGTTATAGGAAAATAATCCTTCCAGTGTCACACAAGTATCATTATGCCGATGAACATTTGTTTATATATTCAGTTCTTCCCTCAGCTCTGCAAAGGAGGAGAAAAAGGACATATTTCTAATCCTGGTGTATTTTCAAACATGAGCACCATCGCATGAGAGCCAGTGCAGCAACAGGGCACTGTAGCATATCATACTCTGAAAGTGTTCAGCTGCGAATAAAAGTGTGAAAGTACTAAAATACCCAACTGCATTCTAGTAACTCATTTTATCTTCAATCTCCTTCAGCAACATTTAGTCAGGACAGGAGTCTGGGATGAGAGCCCATTGTCTCTGTGAGTTTTACATTTGATTTCACCAAAGCCAAGATTTCATTCTGGAAATCAGTTTTGTCAATATTTTCTATATGATCTTTTGGAAAATCATATTCTCTAACCATTGTTGTCCTTTCTGAAAACAAAAAATAATAATGCTTCTTCAAATACATGAAAGTGCCAAAAATTCTAAATGTTGTTTGGTACAAAATTATCGTTAATTATTAATAATATAGGTTTCAGTTAAAAAATAGACTAATAACACATTTTAAAACACAATCAAATATGCAGTTTCCTCTTTAAAATCACTACAAATTCAAGGTAAATTATCCAAGCAAATCAGTAACTATGGTCCTACTCAAAACTCTCAGTATGCTGAATGTTACCTACTATGGTTCTCATTTGGTAAAATATTTTAGAAATTAGCATTAAAAAGCAGTTGGCTACAGCTCTATTGAGGTTTCTTCCTAAGGTAGGCTGAAAGTTGCAAAGCCTGGACACTGCAGCTTTGTTAATAATATAGCCAAAGTGCCTTAATGACACATTGTTAAACTGTGTGCATGTGCGACCACGTATGTGAATCTATATACACATATTTGTATCATTCCTGTTTCCCAATACCTGGGATTAGGAGCAAGTAACTTGATTTAGAAACAAAGCAGAGAAAGGGAAGGGGAAAGGCAGGAGAGGAGAAAGAGGAGAATATTGAATGGGCCTCTGTCAGTAGAAAACAACAGTTTAAAGAAATTTCTATGAATAGCTTTGAAAAGAAAGTCAGAGCTGTGAAGAGAATGATTAAAACAAATCCAAATGTTCTTGACTGGTGAAGACAGTCTTTGATAAAATGACAGTTGTTTTCCCCTACCCAGAGGAAAGGGCAGAAGTGTTTTGCATGGCAATTAGAGGTAAACATTTCAGCAGAATTTTGAAACGTTCTGAGCATTTATTCCAGTGAATACAGTTAGTCTAAAAATGAAAAAATTTTGCAATCCAGATTTATTATAGGAAAAATTAAATATTTGATCTCTGAAATTAAATACCAGGTATTCCTCACAGTGTTTTAAATATGTCTTTTCAAACAAAAATGAGATTTTTATTTTGTTCTTAACTTGAACTGAAAAAATATGCACTTTTGGTGCTGATACTGTGTGTGTAAATGATTGCTTCAGACATTTAAGTTTCCAGGGAAACATGTTTCATATTCCAGCACTGCACAGGCAAATCAGAACCCGTGTTTGGTTAATCTGGGTGAGGACAGGGACCATAAAGCTGAGTTAATTCAAATGGGAAAATGTACAGCATCGTCTGGCAGAGTGATGCAAGTTGCATTTGTTTGTATGTAGCAGTAAAAGGCCAAAATTATTTGTAATGACTTGTACAGTGGTGTTGGGTAGATAAGCAAAGCAATAGTCACAAAGAAGAAGGCAGCTAAATTCTAATGGTACAGTATTTCACAGCAGAACTAAAAGACAATAAAGACTATTTATTTGCTAGTTACATGTAGTAGGATTTTTACAAACACTATGGATGAAGCCAAACCAAAAGAAAAAGGCATTCATTATATTGTGTCATGAAGGGGCACAAGAGAATGGAGAAAAAACTAGAGAGAAAGAGAAGTGAGATAATGGAAAGAAGTGAAATAATGTTAATCTCCCCTATAGTTCATATTGTGTCATTTATAACTGCAATTTATACCATTGTGAGTCAATCTCCACTTAGGTATTGGGAGGACCTAACACTGAAAAAAAGTCAACCACTTTACCAGCTTCCAGTGACTTTCTGTACTATGATACCTGAACAATCTTTAAAATACGGATGAGTATAATTACACAATTTTTCTCTGAGTGTTTGGTAAAACATGATTTACCAAATCTGGCTGGAAAGCAGTCCAGCAAAAAAGGACCAAGGAGGGCTGATCAACAGCAGTTGTACCTGAGCCAGTTGTGCCCAGGTGGCCAAGAAGGGCAATGGCTTTCTGGGCTGTATAAGCAGTAGTGTGGCCAGCAGGACCAGGCCAGTGATGTCCCTCTGTACTCGTCATGGGGGAGCCACACCTCAAATCCTGTGTTCAGTTCTGGCTCCTCACTACAAGACAGACATTGAGGTGCTGAAGATTGTTCAGAGAAGGGCATCAGAGCTGGGGAAGGGTCTGAAGCACAAGTCCTGTGAGAAGCAGCTGAGGGAGCTGGGGGTGTTTTTCATGGAAAAAAGGAGGCTCAGAGAAGACTTTGTGACTTTCTAGACCTACATGAAAGTCAGTTGTAGCTGAGTGAGGCTACACAGGCAAGCAGTGACAGAATGAGAGTGCAAGCCTCAAGCTGTGCCAGGGGAGGTTCAGGTTGAACATTAGAGATTATTTCTTCACTGAAAGGCTTGGTAAGCCTTCGAACAGACTGCCCAGGGAGGTGACGGAGTCACCATCTCTGAAGGTGTTCAAGAAACAACTGGACATGATACTTTCTGTCATGGTCTTGGTGACAAGTTAGCGATCAGTCAAAGGCTGGACTTGTTGATTTTAGGGTATTTTCTAATAAAATGATACTGTGAAATCATAGTGAATGTTCTCTTTGATTCAATGCACCTGATACCTAATGTTGCCAACATTCATATCTTTCATTTTGCCAAAAATTAGGTTGTGCAAAGATTAAAAATACCTGCAACAGGTGAAATTTTCTTATTTCATGATCAGAGAAACACAATGGGGTGCTTGACTACTGTGAGCACTTCTAGGAATAACAGTACTTAAATTAGCATTATTAATCACTATTTTTCAATGTGTCAATAATAAATTACCAATTATTGCAGTAGTAATCATAACTATTCTTATTATATTTATATTCTGTATATTATACATTAGTATAAAGACTATACTCAAGAAAAAAAATACTCAAGACTTCAATAATCATAATTTTAAAACCTGAATATCCATATATCTTTCACTGCATGCCTTTTTAACCATATTTCTTTACTGGGTTCCAATTTAGTTCATTTTAACTTAGGTAACTGCAGCTCCTAAATACTTAACTGGCATACACATTGATGCTGAAGAACAGAATTAGCAGACATGATTCTGCAGATATAAAGGCAAACATCTTAGGGGTGTCTTAACACCCCTCACATTAAGCTTTACTGACACAAAATTTAAGCATTTTATAAATATAAATATGCACGTACTTGTGTGCTTAGAAAGCAGGTCATTAGATGTATAGATATAAGTCCTCTCATCCTGAACCTTAAATTATTTTGTTATGTTTGACTAAATAGCCACTTGGACTTTAACTATATCACTTGAGTATTTATTTTCCAGATGTGAGAACAAGGGTCAATCTTTTCTTGAGCACAAAGCAGTAACTTCCTTGAATTATACATTATATACTGAAGCTGAAGGTATATGCATTGAAGCTTAAGTCATGCTCTGAAATGAATTATAGACATCTGAGAGAAACTAACTTCTCCATTTCCTATCAAGATGTGGTACTGAGAATTGAAGGGAGATGCCCAATGCTGATATCTAAGCTAGGACCAGAAAGTAATTCAAGTTTTCAAATGAAGCGTCAAAAAATGACAGCACAAAGTAAAATTTCAGGATACTAGGACTATTGTGGTGCACATAAAAATTATAAATAATGAGTATGATTTTAGCTGAAATGCACTGGCAGTACTGGCAAATTTATTTTTCCAGGGTTTGCAACCACAAACCCTTATAGCCAGAACCGAAGACCCCAAAAATGTCTGGTGAGAGCCATAGATAAAATGTCACCATTATGCAATGCAATTGATAAAATATATATTTTAGGGGAGAAGACACCATAACTAATGTTTGTGCCCTGATTTTCCCTTCTGATTTTTTTCTTGAGGGGAAAAAAGATTCCAGCATACATCACTACTTTGTATAATGTTTTATTTCAGCTCAGATCCTGTGGTAGGTTTCTTTTGTGCACATAGTCATACAGTACAGAGAAGGCTGCATTC